GCATCCCGAAACGAACAAAAGACATGCTGAATAGCAAATACGCAACTAACAAGCATGACAGCCCTTTCTAAAACGACCCGAAATAAATTCTGCACTATGTCGCCCCAAAATACACATGCCGGATGCACAGCACATAAGTGCACTGCCTTGTGAACGATGCGACGCTCGCCTTGCAAAGCAGGCTGTACAAAACAATACCAGAAGGGAAACACCCCGCTGATGAAGGCTTCGGCTAACCTGCGCACTGAAACTTCGTTCCACACATCAATCCGAACAGAAATCAACATCACATAAAAATCAGCCCAAAATGTGCAGGCACCACGTGGCGATGAGCACCAAATGTTGGACTGTGCCTTCCGGGTCTGTGATCCTCTCTGCTGGAGAGTCATGCAGTCGGAGTCGTCATTTATTGAACATGATGGGCCATGACACAAGCCAGGACAGGGTCGTTTCTGCGACGGGTCAAGGAGAGGCTGGATGGGTTTCTGCGGTTGTCTGCATTACATCGTTTTCGTAACCAGCCAGCTGCTTGTGCTTTTGTCGCAGCCATGTCACTGCCGTGGTATGACACAATACCATCAACCACCAACAAACCTAGCAGCCAACAATCGCAGGGCTTGCTGAACGAAATTGGGCAACTTCAAAGCAGGTTCCATGCGCATGCACATAACAACTGCTAGAGACAATGTGGGGATCGGAACAACCTTCCACGGCAGTGTGTATAGCTGTGCACACTCCATATCAGCAGCACAATTGGTGCGAGTACAGCACTTTGAAACCTGCAAGTGCTAAGGGGCCATTGAAGGGTGTCAGCCAGAAGCATTTGCACTGATGCTGTTTCTAGGTGTGCACACGCACCTTTGTACAATGGCATGGTGCTGGGTCGGCTCAGAACAGCGACACATGTGAATGCAGCCATCAGTCAGGATGACGAAAAAGACTGCAAGGTTCCTGCTAACCATAGCTGGTTTGGGAGGAAGGCTGGCACCGACAGTGGGCCACTTCATATGTTACACTGTAACAAGAGCGGCATTCTTTGATCCATTCCTTTCCTTTGTGAGATTTGCAAACAATTAAAATCTCTCAAAACAGCATTTTCTGCCTACTAACAACGAGTTTGTCACCTGGTTGCCTACTCACCAGATGTGCCAAGAATGGAGTTAATTCCAGCTGCAATTAATGCTTTCAATGTTCGTGCACCTCCGAAGCAAGGGTTGATGTCTTGTTTGATACCTGGGAAATCCCAAGGAGAACAATGCTGCACACAAGCACACACAATGGAGATGAAGGCGGCAATGCATGGGCTTTCCATCAGAGTGTAAGTTCTGCGGGGCTTGGAAGCCATGGTATTGTATGTTGGATGATAGAAGTAGCACAATGATATGCCTTGTCAATATATGGTTGATTGTTTTTGTTGCAAAACCCCGTGGGCACCTGAAGGAGTGGCACCGTGGGGCGCACGCCCAGGCTCTGCTGGGCAGGCGGGGGAGACGAATTGGCACCGAAGGCAATAACAACCAAACAATATAAAGTATATCTCCCCCAGATTAATTAATTGTCACAATTAATTAATGGAGCAATTCCATTAGTGTGGTGGGCCTATTTAATCTCCAAGAAAACACATGAACACAAATCCCAATAACCCCGAGTACACTGAGAATATCCTAAAAGTAATATAAACTGCCAAACACCTAAATAATCTAGAATATCTCAATGTACCTTAGGATCCAAGAGAAAGACACACGTAACCCACTCCAACCTGAAGATCCACGCCCCAACATCTTGCAGTGAATCTTGGAATACAACATAATGTGCAATATCCAAGAATCCACAATAGTTTTGTGGTGGCTTGCTGGGCAATTTCCTTCCTACCACGCTTTAAAAATATTAGCACAAGTGACTTTTTGTGTGTTGGCAGCAGTCTGCTACCAATTTGTCACATTGTGGCCTCCAAGAGTTTTATCCATTTCATAATTCAATGTTCTATGATGCAACAAAGTTAGTGGTATGCCTGCCCTCTTTTTAAGCCGCGGACCCACATCGCCGGGCGCCTAGGTGCATAATACGCTCTGTGTATATGTCTTGCTGTTTGTGCATTTTTTCTATGACCCTTTTTCGCAAGTTCTGCAACAATAACATCTTGTATTTGCGCTCCCGTTGTGCGATCGGCTGCATGGACCCATCCCGCCGCAGGCTTTGAGCGGCAGTGTCGTGTCTCAGTGCCATGTGTCTCAATGCCTTTTTTGGCCCTCACACTGCACGATCGGCCGCACCTGCCCGTCTTGTCATAGGCTTCGAGTGGCAGTGTCGTGTCTCAGTGCCACGTGGCCGCTTTCATTCTGCCCTCACAATGACAGTGTGACACTGTGTGATCGGTTGCACAGGCCTGCCTCGTCGCAGGCTTCGAGCGACAGTGTCCATCTATCAATCTCAGGCAAAAGAGAGAATCAGCAACACAGGAACATAGGCAACGGTTTGGTTCGCCATTATCTAACCCTTGGGACACGCCCCCAGGGGTGGTATAAAAAACAACCGAAGGAAAGGCAACAAATGGGCTAAAAAGAAAAGAATACACGATCGCCCAAGATGCAAACGCATCAGAGCTCCGGACACGGTCTTGGGCTTCCTTCTGAAGTGCTTGGCACCAGAGGTCAATGCGCCTGTGGACGCCGTGGCGTGAAGTTGCCGATGGAGCTAGGTTTGGTGTTGGGCCGTGGCAGACTTCGTCGCCAACTTCAATTGTTGATTGAGCACCTCCTTGCCGATGTGCTCGAGTGGCTCGTCTATAAGCAGGTTCCAGTTTTGGGACTCCGAGAACCATCGATGCACCACGCCCAAATGCACGTTGGTCTGGAGCGCCTTCCAAGACTGGAGGTTCCCTTCTGCTCCCTGTGGGCTTGTTGGAGACTGGTGAGGCTATCGGGCAATCGGGTCATGATCGTCATCTGGCCGTGGACGCACAGCAAGAGAGCGTCCTAAAATTGGCAAGAAACCGGGGTGTGCCATGAAGTCGATCAAGGAAAAGGTCAAGTCGAACTGCCATGTGATGTAGGGTGCCCAGTTTTGGTACTCTTGGAAGTAGCCGGAGTTTGTCCTCAGCACTTTCACGAGGTGCCCGCCTTCAGAGGTTCTGCGGACGTTGAACCATTCGGGAAACCCTACCTCCGGCGGTCAGACCATCGGGTTGGTGACAGATTGCAGTAACAACCAGGGGTCGGGCAGTGAGACGGCGTCCAACAGAGCCGTAGGCGGACCGTCGTTGAAACAAACAGGCTGGTCGTGCAAACACTACTCGGCTGGTGTGCAGTGCATAGAAAGAGCTCGGCCCAAAACGGCTGGGGAGAGCAAGGCACTCAGTGGCTTCGGGTGGTGCCAACAAAGTGGCGCGAAGTGAAACAAGATAGGAGGGGGACTGAGGGGCAGCCTAAATAGCTGCCACCGCTCTGCCCCACCAAAGCCTGCCAAACCCGAGGGCGCCAAGGTTGGCACACCTCGTGTTTTCATACTTTGACTGATCCACACTGCTCCTGGTGGTCAGAGAACCCAAGGGGCGGGGGCCAAGTAAACCCCAGGTTCAAACTACGCCGTTGAATTACTGGCGCAGCTGTCGGGCGCATGGGCCGATTGGAGACGGGTAGCAACTTGGGGAAGAGGGTTGTCCTGAAGTGGGTTGTTAGGAGAGCGGTTTGGAAGTTAGGTGGGTGCGAGTACGGAGGAATGGGGAAGTCTTAGGGTAGGGACCTCAGGAACGCCGGCGGGCGGACGGGTCAAGGTAGGCTGGCTTAGAGGTATAGGTACGGGGAAGTGGGGGCAGGATGGAGATAGTGGACGGGTTAGGGAGTTCTGGGGAAGTTCTGGGAAAGGATTCTGGGTGGACCGAGCCAGTATGACATGATCAATCTGTAAAGCTGGTAGCGCAGCCGGATACGCTGTCCTCTAACGGGGAGGCACTTGACAGCTGTACGCTTGGACGATCACCTATATAAGGGACCCTGTTTTGTAACGATTGCTTGGGACCTGACCAAGTCAGACGCGTGGCCCATGAGGCCTGTTTGAGCGCACGATCTCCGCCGGGCATCCGCGAGTGAGCCGGCCACCGTGCTGCCCAGTCGAGGGTACCGGCATTTACACAGCCCACCGCCATCTCCCTTGGCAGAAAACCATTAACAGGATAGTTAATTTCATTTTCAGCAGAATGCTGCAGGAACCTATGCTCCCCAACACAATTCCCGGCCCACTGCTGACTTTTGTGTAATCAATGCACAGGGTAGCATTGGGGCAAGCAGAACGTGAGCAACAATTTCAGGTTCCCACAAGGTGGTTAAAGTTGCAGGGGATGCTGCTCCATTTTGTGTGTGCACATTCCATACTGGGGCTGGAGCCCGACATGGGACAAGATGACGTCGGAGTCTAACTTTCAGGGCCTTACGTGGGAGATATTCTCGCAAATGCTGTCCCACCGGCTACCTGACTGGCACAGCTGTGCTCACCACAACAGCGAGAGTCCATCCCCAGTCTACTCTTCACAAATCTGTTGCACTGATCAGTGCGACGCATTTGTGAAGAGTAGACCGGGGATGGACTCTCGCACGCGTTCAAGAATATGTGAGATTTTGCAAGAAGCGAGTGCGACAGCTGTGGTTCAGAGGTGTGCCGTTATCGGATGGGTGGGTCACAGGCAAGAAGGCTTGAATGCGCGTCTTAAATTACACCCCACACCGTTGCATTGACCGTGCTGCGCAGAATCGCGCCTAACTTGGCTTATACTAGACCCCACACAATTGGGGCAGATCCAACCAATAAAGTATAATCTACAAGCACACATCGTTTCTGCCCCTGCAATACTGCAAACATGCCTCAAGCAAAGTCATGCTTGAAAGTACGGCCCTGAATTCGAGCGGCAAAAATTTGCCTGATTGAGCCGCTTCACCAATCCTCCACCAGCACCATCCCTACCCTCCCTGAGGCACCCAAGCGTTCCATGGCCGGCTCGCCACCGCTCATCCAAAGAATGTCAGAAAAACGTCCGACACTACAGCACACGGGTGGCCATAGAAATAGCCAAAAGATGCGTGCATCACAAAGTCATTCAACGAGAACCGGTTCGTTCCAATGGCTAGCAACAACTCCAAGACCCCTGGAACCTCTGTGTGAGCCAACACTGGCCCATTCTGTGCACAGGGGTCCAGAATCATCCAGTGGAAGGCGATTCCCCACAAGGAACATGAAAAAGGAGAAGCATACCAGCCCCTGTCATCCATAGTGGAACGAGGGGGGCCAAAAACAGTGCTTGCCCCGCCCGAAACTAGCAAATGTGCACAGTGCATCACACGAAACCCGAATGCTCTCATTTCTCAACAAGGCCTGGTGATTTGATTGACAACGATGAACAAAATATGCATATGCCAGTTGGCACGCAACAAGTCAATTGACGAACGGTGCTGTTTGCCCTCGCGGCAGGGCAGGATCTGTGACCTGGAAGGCACGCCAGCGCCAACCGCCTGGCCCCGCTTTTATTTCTGCGCCACACGCAGTCGCTCATGGGCAGCGACACAGGAACACAATCCTCGTCTGCTGCTGTGCTCAGCAGATCTTCGACCGCCCAAGCAACACCCAGAAACGGCTGGCAGCGCCACAGGGCCAGACCAGTATTCCTGCATTCCAGTGCTCGTCTCCGCTGCGAGGCCCTATCTACCTGTGGCAAAACTGGGCCCCACAACTCAATAACACACGACTCAAGGGTCAATGTGGTCACGACGCACGGACACGCCACTCCTCCGAGATACCTTGTTGGCAACCCTTCGCCCAACGCCACCCAGGCACCCTGCTGCACAAGATCGTTTCGGTACCGATCTTCGGGTGGGTGGCGCGTAGATGAACCAATTCTTCAATCGCACCAGGAGGGACTGCGGTTTCTCGCCAGCATTGCCTGATAGTGCAAACAAAGGCATTAACCACAAGCAACAACTGCCCAACTTTGCATCTTCATTCCAACTAGCGAACTAGTGAAACTCTGTGAGTCTGCCTACGATCAAAGGCAAAATCTGAACGCACTTGTTCTGGTGCTACGCAGTGTGGCTCTTGCTGCAGAGCTTTCACTTGCATGGTATGCCTGCAGCCTGCTAGAAAGAGGCTTTGGCTCCAATGCAGGCATCCAGCCAGCTGGTCGATGGGAAGCACTGTCACCTAACAACATTCTGTCTCTTGAACGTCACACAGAAAAGAAGCAATGCCACACAGCCACTATGTGCATGGGAGCATCAGCTTGTGGTACAATAGTTTACAACGAAATATGGATGAACTGAACGAGGCAACAACATCTCTCAAAGTTCAAGCCTGTGAAGTTATTGAATACATGTTGTGGGTGCAAGCCGATCCAGGTGCTAGCCTCAAACACAATTAAGGTCTTTTCACCGCTTCAGCCATGGGCATATCCAAGACTCGCCTGTGAGGTGGGCGACTGAGCGCTCAGTGGCCAGCGCCATGGAGAGTGGGTGGTCCAGGCCAAGGCGGTCGACCAATGTAGGGGTCAGCGTCACCCCTTCAGCCTTCAAGCAGTGGGCCATGTGTCCGTAGTACTCTGTCTCTGAGCCAAAACGACTCGCATCTCTGGAACAATGCAAACAACAAGTCACCCCATGTTATGATACATGGGCTAGTCAACCATGAGACCTCTTGCTCAAATGGCACCACTTGGTGCTTGCAGAGGAGCTTTAGAATATGTGCTGAGGCTCAGTGCAGGACTTTGTCCAGTGTACCTCAACCCCCAGGAGTGAGCGTGGGGCATAAGCGATCCAACAGTTGCGGGTGGAGGCCAGCAGACAACACGAATGATGGCCACCAGCACACGGCGCACAGCAGCTGTGTTGTTAAGCATGGGGACATTCAGTGGCTGCAGGTTTGGAAAAGGATACGTGTCAGCACCTGTCAAAGAACATGGCGTTGATGCCGCACTCTGAGAGCACGTCCAAAACGTCCATGGAATGCTTCGCCTTTTGTCCTGACAGATCGTCGGGCCCCTCCATGCCACTGTCCACCTCGACCCTCCATTGCCCCAACTCCCTATCATATGGCTTGGCAAGCTCACTGCATGAGCTTGAGCTGCAGCCCCGATATGGCGCTCTGCCCAGGCACTCCTTGATGCTCAGCATCAGTGAGTTATTCTTCCCTGCAACTTCCTCCATTATGTTGAACAAGTCTATACCCAGATCTTCTGCCTCCTGGACGATTGAATCGTAGAACTCGATGACAGGCACAGGCTGGCAGGACATGGCATCCCATTTGTCCACATCCACCTTCAAACTCCGCAGCTTGGGCCTCATCAACGAGTACAGCTGCTTCGGCCCCTCTGGTCCATACTCGATCGGGTCGTAGATGTCCGTGTTGAGTATGACGTTGTACACCTCTTCGCCATCGGCAGGTGGTGTGTTCAGGGCAGCCACCATGTCTGAAAGGCTGATGCTGGAGATAGCTTCAGAGTCTTTGGCCGAGGCTGTCCGGAAGCTGCCCGACCTGCGACCAAAGCTGGACAGCCTCTCAGAGAAGCTGCCAATGGGCGTGCCATCAGACGATACATCCACCGACGTCTTGAAATTCAGCTTCGTCCTGAGCCAGCGCAGCAGATTGGGGCTCGACGCGCCCCGGGACCTTCGACGTTTATGCCGACTCGCAGATCCTAAGCCAGGGTCGCTCATTCTCGAATCGGGGCGGTCGATGGGCTCGGTGACACCATCCATGGCAGACGCTGGTCGCCCGAAGAATTCAGACACCTCCGAATCGTTGCCAGAGAAGCCGTCAAAAACGCCACTCAAGTCGCAGGGGGCACTCTTGCACCTGTCTTCCTCAGTCAGCGCAAGCAGCCCATCAGGTTCGCCCCCCAGGGCAGACTGGGATCCGCCAGTGACAAAGTCACTCTTTGACCTCTGCAGTCCACTGCGCCTGAAGTCAGGGGAGAACATCCCTCCAGCCACGATGCCAGAATCCTGCGGCCCGGTCAGAGACAACTCGCCCTCCCACTCATCCTGCGATCCAGTCAGTGTCTGCCCTGCCCGATCGAACACCCACCCCTCGCCCTGCTCTCCGCCCTGCGTCGGACCAGGGTCACTGTTGTCGTCACTCAGCATGTCCTCAGACGTCGTAGACTCTTCCAGGACAGTCTGCAGGCGCTTGTGCCCCACCACGGATGGGCAGTCCAGCAGGCTCTCCAATGGGTCACCCCGGCGGCTGGCAAACCCCCCACGAACGCCCAAGAAGTCGGATATCGGCACCACCTCCAGATCGCCAGTCTCCCTCCACTTTGGGGTTCCAGCGTCCAATGTAGCCAGACCTCTGGATCCAACATTCCACATCGGAGCGTCTTGCTCCCCATCTTGGTCGCTGTCTGAACTCAACCCCTTCACTGTGCCCCCTGATAGCATAATTGCCTCATCCATCCCCTCCTCGAAGGAGCTTCCGGTGGAGCTCCGGCGATGATGCGGGTCCACATCACTGGGAGCAAGAGTGCTCCCTGTGGATTGTGCCTGGGGCTTGGGGCAGTCGTCCTCGACCTCTGTCCCTTCCCCCAGGTTCATGCTCAGCACCCTCTTCATAGCCTTGGACACAATCGTAGCCTCCTGCAGCTGCTCCCAGGAAGTGGACTCCACAAAAGGTTCTGCACGATCGGGCGGTGCCCCACCCCCTGGGGGGAAACTGTCAGACTGGTACGACTTGGGCGTGTGGAACTCGTCGCTCTCGTCGCTCACCCCATAGTCGCCACTGTCCTCCCTGCAGTTGCTAGCTAAGAAAGGTGACGACACAAAACCACCCCGATAGCGTACCATCTGGCCTTCCATGCCATCTGCTGACGACCCCTTGGACTCGATGTTATCTGAATCGCAGTAGAACGTGGGGCCTGACAGGTTTATGCTCTCCCACTGGTTCTGTCGCCCTTCAGACCTCGTGCCCCTCAACTCTGCTGTGACTGAGTCGCAAGTCACCAAGTCCCTGGCAGTCAGCACCTCATCTTCCTCTGCTCCCCAGTCAGGCCTGCTCTCTATGCCTTGCCACACAAAGCCCATCAGGCCACGACTTCTGGCGTTGCCAAACTGTTCCATCTGGCATTGCTCTGCAAGGCTGCTTGGAGAGTCTTCGCCGCCATCCTTGAAGTCCCGAGCAGGCTGCCATTCTGCCTGGTGAGCCTGTCGACCTCTTGTAAGTAATGTGGGCTCTGCGACCGCCGCATTGTCCAAGCCCCACTGTTCTGGCCCACTTCCCTGCTCTTCAAACAGCATTCCCCTCACAGCAACGGTGCGACCTGCGATGCCACCCCCACCCCTGTGCCCTGACGCCTCCTTCCCCAATGTCGGCACCTTCACTGAGACAGCGTGGCCATCAACGCTGCCACCATTCACAGAACCTCCATCCCTGCCTAACGCGGTTCCAGCTGTCACTCTGTCATTCCCAACGTCAACATTCTGCAAAGGTTCCAAGCCAGCCTCCTCCTCGTCACACACACCAGCAGAAAGAATTGAGACCATGAAGGGCTTGGGATCTTCCCTCGTGCTGAGCACTTCGACTTGCCCCCCATCCCCTTGCCCATGCAGCAAGTTGGGAACCACTGGATCAAATTCAGCCACACACCCAGTAGCCTTGCCCAACTGAAACATGGCATGTGGTTGTTTCCTACTGTCATTATCAACTTTCTGAAGAACTCCCTTGCCACCAGGGTCAACTGTCTTGTCTACGTCGCCAGACTCCAGCGGGGGCATCCAGAGTTCGATGCTGTTAATTTTCCTCTCGTCTCCATCACTGTCCAACCCATCTCCCACACCCTGGACCGATCCCCTTTCGTTGCCATTCCTTGAAGATAAACTCATGGAACATCTCCCCAAAGCCTCATCATGCGACATCCAAGTTTCCCAAGTCAGTTTCACTGGGCCGTTGCCCGATGCCCACAGGCTAATCTCATCGTGCTCAATCTCGCAGCTACTACCGCCTTCCCCAACGCTCGACTCTGCTTCGACACCCCCCACCCTCCCATCAATGGAAGCCACGCCCTCGGAGCAGGCTCTTGGAGCACCTTCTCCAGTCGTCCATTGTTCCCACGCAAGTTTTCCTGCCTGGTCTCCAGATGCCAGCAATTCAGTGCCATTACCCTGCTCCACATCACAGCTACTGGCGCGGAGCAGTTGGCTTGGCACTGCCTCCGATTCTCCTGCGGTTTCTTCTTCCTCAGGAGACAGGCCAGCGCATACCCCCTCAGACACGTCCATTCCTGGCACCCAGGGCTCTTGGGCGCTGAGAGTCGAGCTGGCAAGCTCCTGGACTGACTTACTGGCATCGAGGGCATCCTGGGTCCTGATAGCCCCAGCAACAGAGCCTGACCCCGCGGACCCCACCGACCCTGCCGACCACAGCAACTGGCCAATCTTGCACACCTCGGAGTGCGAAACACTCGAGATGGACAGGCCGTCATCCCCGTCGCCCACACACCCAATTGAGAAGCTGCCGTCGTTGCTCGCCGCCATTGACGAGCCCGCCCTGTCTCCTAGGCTGGCCATCGCGGACTGCCACAGCGGACACGCCCCCCGGCCGGCGCCGTCCGCGCTGAAGCCGCAGGCGGGGAAGTCCACGGTGTTGTGGCTCCTCATGCGCCTCCAGTCCCTCGGGAAGCCCGGGCCCATCAGCAGGGCTGGGTGACCGCCGCGGCACTGCTCCCCCCCGCCGCTGGCCTGCCGTGCCTTCCTCTTTCGAGCGCCGCAGGCGCACAGCACGTCGCGCTCCGTGGTTTCGGACATGGACCGCTTGTGCCTCGCTGGCACCGGCAGCCGCACGGCCTCGTCGGAGGCGATCGTGATGCCCTGCTCCATGGGCAGCAGGTCTTCGTGGGAAAGAAGGTGCATCGTGCCTGCGGCCGGGGGGCAGTACTCGTTGCAGCCTCAGGCAAGGCAGGAGCCCAAAATGCTGTTGACCCAACTCCTGCCGCCCCTCGGCCGAAAGCCAACTGTGCGCTGTCCCCGTCGACTGCGCCGCCGACCAAGCGGGCAAGTGCCCTGCAGATCTGACAACCTCCGTGAAGGGAAACTACCCTCTTGCCCTAGGCCGTCTAGGTGCCCGTCCATGGAGCACCCCCTGCCTTAACCGTCACCTGAAGGCGCACACAGCGGGGTCCGATCAGTGGCTGAACGCATGGTCCAACTTTACAATCGCAAGGCCCCCAGCCAGATTGCGAACAGCAAGGGAGCGCAGCAGACCCCGAAATTGCCGGAACCGCCAGGGAAGCCGGAACGCACAACAGCAGGTCCATTTTTCTGGGCCGACGAAAAGACAGTGTGGTACGGACTCCATTCCCCTTGGGGACCCAGCAAGTGGCTCCCATTGCCAACTCGCGTTTCCAACGTGGCGCCCCACGCATGGATCCCAACCACAGGTCGCGGGGATCCAACCCCACCGTGCACAGCGCTCCCCACAGATCGACTTCCCGCCCGCGCTCAGCATCGCAACAAAGGACGCGAAACTACAGCCACAGCAAAACTCCCAGGCGCATCGGCTCCGAGGTTGGAGCTTCGGGCCTATGCGGCGGTGAGGTCACAGGCGCCAGGCGCCACTGCCGTCCATTTCGCCGTCATCCCCACAACCCCTCCGGCGCTCAGAATCCTTCCTCGCGACCCGCACCTCCCGGCTGGCCGCAGTCGCGACGGCCCCGGGCATCGCATGCCCGAGGCAGGCATCCGGCAATCCATGCCAATCCACGGGAGGTCGGGGCGCGCCCCCCGGAGAGCGAACCTCAAAGAGCGTGAGCGCGCCCCTCCCGCAGCGCAACGACGCGGTATTATCGGCGAACGTGCCAGACGCCCGCCAACGCGCGGCACGACGCAGAAAATTTGGGATCCAATGCCCCGAGCGTGCCGGGTCACGTGTCAGGGGCTCCGGCAGCAGGCCTGCCAATTGGCTCTTCCAGGTCAGCTCGCTGCGCCGCGAGGCACCGCCCACAAGGCGAGTCAGCTCGCGCCGCGCCCACCCGCGCTCTCCTTTCCCCCGCCCCATGCCTTTAAACGCAAAATCCGCGCCCAGGTCGGTGCCCTGCCCAGGCAACGCGCCACACCGACGGCACAAGCACGTCGCCAAACATGCGAGGATGATGTACGGACCCAGCACGACCGCGAACCACGGAGATTTCCCAGCTCACCATTCTGAACACAACGCCCGGGCAGCGCTGCCTCACGTCCGCTCCAAACCGGCGGCCCGGCGGCTGCCTGTCGCCTCCCCACCCCTCAGCCGTGCTGCTGGCTCCCTGCCGCCCAGCCGGCTTCTTTCAAAAATGTGGCTTGGCCTCTCAAGGGCTTACTACGGGGCAGCGGGTAGGTGACTGGGCCCAATGTCGGGCCTGGGGAGCCGTACTGTGAGGGGGCCTTGGAGGGTATCCACAGGATCGATCTCACCATCACCTTGAAAAAACGCCGCCTTTGGCGCAGTCATGCCGCAAAGTGCACACAGCAGCACGTCTCCCCATGCCGCGTCTGGAACGCCTCAAACAAGCTAAACAGCTGGAAACAAATGAACGAATGCAAAGAAACGAACGCAAAATTGAAAGTTGATGAATGATGATGACTCGTGATGATGAAGCGACATGATGGACAAGACACGGGGCTTGGGCGGCCGAGGGTGGTACTATCCACGGTACCTACGGCAGCGCGGCGTCAGCGAAAATTCCGTTCCTCGGCATTTGGCAGGGCATTGCCGGGTTGCCTCTGCCGTTCAGGAAGCACACGCGTTGCCCGTGGTGCCAACACCAGTACCCGATGACCTCAAAGACTTGATGAAAGTCACGGTCGTGTTGCGCCCAGCGCCATCAGAAACACAACTTTCACTCTGGGTTCATTGCCACCCGCTGCTTTGCCACACCAGGCTCGAGCCCGGGATTGTTCGTTGGGGCGTTGGGCCTTATGGCAGGCCTTATGAATACAGTCATGGCCCACGACTCATGGGTTCTTGGGTTTCATCTACACCGTTCTATTGTCGGACTCCGATCGAGAGAAACGGCCCAACTCGTGTTGCAGTCGCTTTGCGCAAGTTGTGGTTGTTCTTGTCGTCGGTGTGCCTTGAAACCCCAATAACACACTGCGAACAAGACTACAGTTTCAGCCAAAAGTATAGCTGTATTGCCATTCAGGGCTCCGACTTGGGTATACGATGAGCACGTTTTTGGAGCCGTATCGCGTCCCAGCGCCTTTTCCCTGCATCAGCAAAGCACCTGCATTCGCACCTTATCTGCACGGGAATAAACCCTCAGCCCTGTGGCTCAGACTGCGCTGTGACTGAGGCATTGGAGGATAAGACAAACAAACCGGCGTTGCCTGCTGTCCGTCCCTCATGCAGCCTTTTTGCCAATCTTTTCATAAGAGGTTGACCTAATGGCAAAGATGCAGCCGCAGCCTTTACATTCACCATTCGCCCCCACAGACTTTGCAATTCTCCAGCCACAGAGCATACTACGCAATGCTGTACATTAGAACCTGCACGGCAAAACCGAGCCAGCTGGCACCTTTGGGCTGTCATTGTGCATTGCATCCTAGCGTGTACACGTCAGCCACAGAGCATACTACGCAATGCTGTACATTAGAACCTGCACGGCAAAACCGAGCCAACTGGCACCTTTGGGCTGTCATTGTGCATTGCATCCTAGCGTGTACACGTCATTACTTGGCTTGAAGCCCTGAGCTTTTGGGAAATGACAATTTGGGCATTAAACGACTACTACAGGAGCAACACAGGACTTCGTCAGTGCAGCACAGGGCTTCCAACACTGCAGTTGCACAGCACAACAGCTGCGATGAAAAGTTGTACAAATGCTGCAATGCATGCGTTGAGCACAGGACGAACAGGACATTGATGCCATGTGCTCGCCATAACAAAGCTTGTACAGATTTAAAATGCTAAAGGAATGTTCACCACCACAAACGCATTCGTTGTATCTAACTACCACCCAGTGTGCAGGGATGCCACTCCTTCCTGAAGATATCACCACACATCACCCTATGGTGGAAGCGATGGCGCCGTTCAGCCTGATGAAGTCATAGTAGTAATTGAGCAGGCATATGGGCTGGCCCACAATGCAAAAGGACACCCAGAATGTGATGTTCCCCCACCGCTCCCCCCACTTGCTCTGCATCCACTGAGTAAGTATGATCAGTGGCATCTGCATCATTATACCCACGAACAGATGTGGGAATGCCCTTGTCATCTTCAATGGGACAATCACCATCAGCTCGTGGGCCACCGCAGACACAAAGAACACTACAAACGTTGCCGACAGCCTGGTTGCCCCACAACTCCTGACCGGCGCATATATGGTCCGCAGCAGCCAGTTGTGTACTGGCAAGTTCCACTGCCTCCAGTAATCCCCAAGGTTCGTGGCGTTCCACCAATCCTTGTAGAACTCCCGGTCCCCAAACCTCAGCGCCTCGGCCAGTATGTTAAGCCACAGGTGAAAAACGACGTAGAACATGCACAACCAGGCATACACCACTGGCACCGACAGCTTGAGGACACGCTCCAGTAAGGGCAGCCACTGGAGGTCACGCCTGGGTCGCATGGAATTGGCAATGGATGGGTTGATGTACTGGTCCACCACGGCAGTGAAAAACGACACCGCCACGATCAGCTCCAAGACCCTTCGGAGCAGCCACTTCACCCTCACCCTCCCCGTCCTTGGGAAAGTGACCTGATAGGTCAGGGTGGGTGCACACATGTAGTACAGGATGTTGCTGACCGTCAGGTTCTCGGGATACTGCAGAGGCTGGTCTGCCCCCTCCACAGGGTTTGCCGACCCGCGCTCACCTGGTCTCACCTCCTCTCTGCACCTGGCCAAGCAGTTCCTCTGTAAGTGTCATTTGCAACACCTGCATGAACAGGAGCCTGTGCACCAACAATGCCACAAAGGGCAATTGGACACCACCTGCAGCCCTTGTGTTCACTCCCAACTTCAATACACAAAACATACTGAATACTTTTGTGTGCTTCAGTTCCACTTTCCATGCTTCAAATTTCCCTGTGAGCATCTAATGCAGACTTGACAGGGAGCTGGTTGATTCCAATTCCCGAATTTCGATTTAGTGCAATCTCTGTTTGACTGAAAAGCAATTGTTCCTTAGTATAGTACATTCTGGGAATTGCCTTGCAAGGCGTACCTGGCCATCCTCAGATCTTGGTTGCAGTGGGCGAACGACACCAGCTTCATCATAACTGCCAGCGTGGCTGACGTGAGGAAGAACTTTGGAAGCAGCCCCCCTTGGTCTGTGTGAAAGATGATGGCCATTGGCACCACAAGGCAGACAATGCAGGACACAACGTGCACTGCTGTCACTAACATGTGCACCTGTGCTAGAGAAGATGAGTCCTGAGAACAGGCCATCTTGTCAGAGCCTGGCTGTCTCTTTCCCTTGGCAGAGTTTGTCTTCTTCACAAAGGCATCCTTCTTCCGCAGCCCCCTGCGATGCTTCACCTCTTCCAGCACTTTTGCTGCTCCCCATTTCTCGATGTAGAGCGATGCCAGGGAGCATGCAGCCAGAGCTGGCCAGCACAAGATGAGGGCAGTGAATGACCCCAACATTAGCTCCTGGATCCACCTTAAAGGGTTGAACAGGAGGCCGTACTTGAATATATTCTCCAGTATCAGACGGAAATTGGTCGCAACAAGCACTACAGCCCCCAGGTTCACCAATCCAGGTTGCGGGTGTAAAGGCAGTTGCTCGGATGCCAGCATAGAGGCCTTGTTCTCCTTGTGGAGGGGTGTTGAGCCACACAAAGGGGGGCTCGGCTTCTTTGCATTGTCTTGTTGGCAATCCTGTTCAGTCTCTTCTGAGCCTGACTCGGGCCCACTGAGGCTCGGACTGGTCAGGTCCGAGGTCGCATCCGATCCCTCATTCCGTCGTCTGTGCTTCGGACTCCTTTCCATCTCGTGCAGGGACCCCAGCGATCCGTACCTTGATAACAAAACAGCTGCATCGTCAGCTACGATCCATCAATGACGCAACTGCCTGCAAGCACACGGTGGGAGCAAGAGCCGTACCTTCCAACCGCCTAGTGTATCAATGGCAGAAACTGATAATTCTGTAAAGCATCAAGTCTTTGGATGTGTGCCAGGGCAGGCATTGCGCAGTCATGCAATCATAGTCTACTGAGAACTCACAACTCTAGCATTCACCAGGCATCAACCAAATAGAAAATATCAGCACCGCTATCAAAAAAAAGCCAGGTAGACCCAGGCCACTCGCTGCCACGTACCATTCTTGGTCTCTGTTGGTGCCAGCATCACACCATGCTGTGTCCAAAGTATGCACTGCTAACGCTCCATTCACAACTTGTTGAACTGCACAGTCCGATTTATAAGGCACTGCACTCACCTTCCCAGTCTGTGACCAGGTACTGTAGGGCTGCTGACGTGCATGTCCTCTCCCAGTTGGGGCAGGCTGGATGCCCTTGAGACCCGCTTCTGTACACCTGCAGCTGCCTTGATTGCATCAATCCATGACTCTGCCACAGCTCGGTTCTCGGAGCTCAGCCGTATGAGGCAGCAGTTGGCAGAGTCCAGGACCATGAACGTCCAGAATCTGCCCTGCTTCAGGCCCTCCCATTGCACGGTGGTCCCCACAAGGTCGATCGTTGCACGTGGCTGTGGGGTTTTGTCTGTTATGAACTGCTTGAGGGTCGACCCACAGAGGGTGAAGTAGCGCTCTGCCCATGGGGATGAGAACAGCTGCACAATGTAGTCCCTGTATTTGAAGAGGTAGCCCTGAATCATGTGCACACAATGAATAAAGCTGTGCAGAATCTGTGCTGGAGGGAACGTCCTGCTGTGGGGGGACACCATCCTTCTGGCTTTGATGGATTGAACATGTGACAGCACTTTGCATGTCACTGCTGGCACCAGTGCAGAAAACCGTGGGGAGTGGATACTGCTCATGATGTGCACATGGCTGCACAGCAGCTCCCAGGGGCATGCTGTGATTTTCTTGAGCACAGCTTGCAACAAGAAGGTTGCAGAGCCTTTCCTCACTGCCAAAATACAGCAATGACCCCAGCAGCAGTGAAGGCACAAATCACTGACAAGGATAATGTGAACACACCATCCCAGCCTTTCCTGTCAGCCCATCCCCGGAACACCTAATTGGAGCCTGTCAGTAATGCTGTATGACCTGAGCTAAAGTGTACAACCCGGTCACTTGCTATCACAGGTTCCTTGCAACGTTGCCTAAATTAATGTGACAATGAGCTGCGACGGGACCTTCCTGCTTCAGTGTCCCCTTCACTGACAGATCCTCCATGGTATGCAGGCAAGCATCAGCTGTTGCTACCTGTATGAACTTCGATGCGACACACCGCTTCTGAAAACCCAATTTCGCAACAAACTGTGCAGCACAGCACCACTGAGGCAGTAACCGACAGTGGTCAAAGGCAACTGTTCTGGAATCATCTGCGGCCATGCGGCATCGTCTCCCACTGGCGGGCTCACCTGCATGCGGATCGCCATCCCCTGACATGCGCTGAGCTGTTCGCTTAGGTGCTCATTCAAGGACTGGCACCGCCGCAGCTCCTCCTGCAGGCTGGCCACATCTTCTGTGGAGAACTCAGAGTGGGTGGACTCGCTGAAGGAGGCGGTCCTGCGTCTCCTCCCCATTGTTCACCGCCTCTGCACAACCCTGGTCAGCGGGCACTCCAACGAATGAGGTACAAGCAAACGTTTCTGGAGCATGCAAACCCGTGCACCTCCCACTGTAACCCTGCTGTACCTCCCTTGTCTAAAACAATCCAAGCATATACCAAAACGCAAAAATAAGCAAAGCCAATTAAAAATAGCAGAGTAATCAAACACAATCCAAGGAATCGATTAAACCTCCCAAACCTGAAAAAGCAACTGACTCAACAGGCGGGTCCCCCCTCCCCCCCCCCGTCCTCGGGAGCGCTGGGCAGATGTACGACGGATAGTTTGCGACCCGCCGGCAGACAGGGGGGAAACGGGACCACCATTCGCCAGCAACAAACACCGTTCTGGCACCCGGCGCACGTCCTGCCGCGCAAACGCCTTCCCATGCTTCAGCAAACGGGGATTTGCCGGAATTCGCCGCTTTCAGGCGACGTGGCACTGTGCCATAGATTCGAGGGGGACAAGGCAAGCAGCCCGTGGAGGGACAAGGCTGGAAGTCAGCGGATGCCCCACCCAGCGCAAGCACAAAGATTACAGACCGCGGCGACCGCCACTTCACGCAGCACGCGGGGCGCGGCAGGCGCCCGACCACCCGCCAAACACTCCGGCCCCGGATGTCAGATTGCCCCCCGCGCGGCCGACGCGACGCCTGGGCTGTTCTCGGCAGGCGGAGGAGCGCGCCCAGCGCGGAAGGTGCGGCCAGCCGCCAGCCGGCGATCCACCCCGGATAACCGGCGCGCGTGCGCCGCTCCGACATGCGCCAGCTGACCGGCCAACTCAAAGCATTCCCAACTCCGCCGGCGGCAGCGCCCCAGGCACCCTGGACCCAAAAGCGCCGAGGGCATCTAAACAGCCGCGGAGATCGCCTTACTCGATTCCTGCCACTTCCTCCGTCCAAGTCCGCCACGCCCAAGGGGACAGGGCGACAGGGTGGACCGAAATCGCCAGTCCCCGCTGACCTGGAACGGCCAGGATGCCGACTGGGCCGCACCCTTGAGCCTCCAGCGGTGGTTCGATGCCCAGGCGAAGGGACCGTTGGAGAGAGGAAGGGGGGGGCCGGCGCCGCGCTCGTTGCCGCGGTGTTGCCCGCGCGGTGACGGGGCCCTGTAACGGCCGTCGCACAACGGGACACGCCTTGATTCCCGAAGGCCAGAGTGTCACGCTGGTCAGGCGGTTGGATATCGGCTGCATTCGCGCCCGTATTCCATATCGTAGATTCTTAAACACTTCCGCGCAGCCACGTAAAGCTTGGCTTTTTAGCCCGGAGAAAACAATAAAATGAATAACATTCTTTTCATTTTTGTGCGGAGCAGCTTAATAAAAATAATAAATTAACGCTCTGAAATACAAAATGCGGGGCCAAAAGTGTAACGGTAAATTTTCTGATGCGGAAGGGTTTAAGCCCCCTTACGGTCTACGGATGAGGTGGAGTGGGAGCCGGAATGCACCGCTAACAAGACAGCGCACGGGCATTCGTTCGTCTGTCCTGGCGGTAAATTTCGGGCTAGTACATTAGCGCAGTACATCACATGTGGGGGGCCCAACCCTGTCCCGCCCACCCTGCCATAGCCGGGGCCACGAATCCCTGATTCCTGCCCCCTGTGCTCAGTCACATGTGGCAGGAATCCTTGATTCATGCTCCCTGTGCTGAGTCACATGTGGTCGTCCCCCGTGCCCTTGCACAGGAGGCGGGACATGGGGCTCTGGGTGTCCGGGGTGGTGGCAGCCACTCATAACCAACTGTTACGCGCACCGGCCTGATGTGGGGGACGCCCTACTACTGGCCCTTGGTGTGGGGGACGCCTTGCCCAAGATAACTATCCTCAACCCATGGTAACCATTCTAGGTATTAGGATATGGGAGTAGGAGGGGTGGTCCCGCCTAGGTCCCTGTAAGGACCTAGGTGCCCGGCGAGGCGGGTCCGTAGCTCAAAGAGGGCAGGAACCCCACACCCAAAGACTTTACGTATCATTTGGTTTCGGAGCCACTTGGGGGTGGCTACCATGCTTCCGCCTGGGCGGACGCACAAGCTCGGAGCAGCGGGCTCCCTCCCCGGCCTCCCCCATAGAGGCCGAGGAATTGGACCCTGAAGCCCGGAAGGGCAGCCCCGCATCTTCGGGTGCGGAGGACGATTCACCCCGGAAGGGGACGCCAACTAGTTCGGTCAGCGAAGACGTTACAGCCCGGAATGGGCAGGGAAAGGAAGAAGTCCGGAAGGACATAGCCAGCCCATCGTCGCGACAAGATGAGCCGGAAGAAGAAGACCAGCCGATGGCCGAGGCGGAAGAAGCTCCAGAAGAGGAGGTGCCAGAACCGGGTACGGTGGCAGCTCTGCTGCAGGTGCCGGGCATCATGGAGCTTCTGGAGAAAATGGCGGCCACGGCGGCTCAACAAGCAAGGGCGAAGCAGGACGAAGAGACCGCCGAGAAGATCCTCACCCTTGGGATCGAAGCGGACAAGGCGAAGAAAGAGGCCCGCAGAAACGAGATCGCCATGAGGAAGGCGAAAAAACTGAGCCGCCAAGCGGAAGAAGCCAAGACCGCCGCGGAACAACATGTCGCCCAGCTGAGCGATCGCCTACTGAAACAGAAACTGCGGGCTCAGGAGGCGGAAGAAAAGGTCGTTCAGCAGGCGAAACAACCCGAAAAGAGTCCTGGTCTATCTGAGCCGTTGCCGAGGATTCCAGAAGCGGAGGGCGACTGGAAGACCATCGGCAAACAGCGGCCCAAGCGGAAGAGCCCGTCGCCAGGTGAGACGTTGCCAAAAATTTGGACAAGTGAGAAAAAAGGCCATAAGGTCCAGCCCGTTGGGCAAATGGCAGAGATCGGAGGCCGGAAGGTCGAGACCCATGAGCCAAGGGTCAGGTCACAGGTGCACCTGAGGACACCTAGTGAACCGGAGCAGAGCAGTGACGAGTCGCTCACAGAAAGCGCTCGCGCTGTATGTGGACCTAATCTAGAAAGGCCAAAAGTTCATGATTGGAGTCCCCGGAGACCTGCATTACCGGAGTGGGGGCCGGGAGAAAGTGCCAGGGTGTTGGAATTCATTCCGGACACTGGTACACCATATAGTCGGCAACTGCCATGCCGAGCTATGTGGACTAAATTCCACAGTGATTTTATGGACGAGTTGGATAAAGGCTGGCAAATGGCCGCCGAGAGATTTGGAGAAAAGCTAACCACCGCGAGATTGGTGAGAATCCAGAGGTGGTATGGTCCTGGAATGGCAGACCAAATTGCCAGAGAGGACCCGAATTGGCCGGAAAAAATGGCCTTCGCGCTCAGATATATTCCCGAACCTTGGGATCTGAGCGAGGGAAGTCCGGAAAGGCCGGATCCCAACGACCCCCACGAGCGGTGGGAGGAGATCTCGGAATTGTCGTTCTCTTCATGCGCTTCCCCATTGCCGGGAGATATGTCGACGCGGGCACAAGTGCATAGAATGGAAAAAGAGAGACGGCATATGCGAAACCGGGATCGGTTCGCTCGTGCGAGGAAATTGGACGAGCGAAGGGCGCGAAAAGCCAGCCAGCGAAGAGAGCTGAAAGCTTTGCAACGTGAGCGGGATCGTCAATTAAATCCACAAAAATATGAGCGGAAGAGAGCTCATAAACGACAGCGCAAGGCTGAGATCAGATGGTTTTTCGCTACAGGAGGCAGCCAAAAGGCACAGTGCCTTGAGGCAAAGCCGGTGGCCGACGAGCTGGATCCGGCCCAGCAAGCGAAAGCTTTTGCTGAGCTTGAGAGGGCTCCGCCACGGCAGACGGCCAGATGGGCTGATGAGTCGAGTGGAAGTGATAGTGGGGTAACCCACCCCGCTCGATTCATCCCTCAACAGCCTGGAAAGGCATCGCCTCCAGTTGAGGAGACAAGGGTCCCCAAGGAGGCAACATCTTCTAAGGAGAAGAAGAAGCCTGAAAAGGCATAGATGCAGTCTGGAAAGGCAAGGGAGGAACCTCAAGGAACTCAGAGAGTAGTTCCAGGTAACATTGCCGATACAGTGTCTCCCAGTAACCTTGCTGCGAAAACACACTTGCGTACATGTGCAGAAATTAGAGATTCTGCTGGACATGACGAAGTTGTGTATCTCGGTTCAGCAGGGGAGCCAGCAGAACCTATTCTTCTGGAGAGGAAGGAGGTTTATGCTGCTGTGCAAAGGCAAGAAACAGCCTTGGAGAAGGCAAGGGAAGAAGCTGATAAGACTGCCCGGCTACTGGCTGTGATGGGGGAAGAGGATTATGCCAAGTTCCTGCAGTTTTAGGAGTCTCGACGTGCAGGCCGACAGGCCAAGAGAACTCCCCCCAGTGAGAGCAATTCTGGACAGGAACCCAGTGGCATCAAATATCTGCCTGGGAAGCCTGGTCCAGGATACCAGCAACGCCGATCACAGCAGCTCGGAAAAGAGCAAGGCCGACCTCAAGTGCCCCATGAACTGCCCCAAAGACCAGCTCCCGTGGTGCATGCCCCTGTGATACAGGATGCCCATGGGTTCTGGGATACGCTCGGGGCGTTTCATGACCCATTCGATGGTGTGTACTACAAAGGGTACTACCACCCACGGGGAGCCCAGGCACCATACAGGGCCGAGATCCCAGTAGCTGCGCTGCAGCGTATTCCCGCCAAACTGCGTGGGTTATTCGATGCACAACAGACTGCACTGGGAATCTATGTGCCCGGAAGCCAGGAGGCGGCTACAGAATGGCGGGCCGTGTATAGCACTGGCTGAAGACTGCAGGAGGAGGAGCCCGTCAGGGTACAGATGGGGCATAGGGTGCAGGCTGGCCCCTCAGCACCGGTTCGTCTAGTGGCTCAGCCAGGAATGGCGCCAAGACAACCGGCGATGCCTTTTACGATGGGCCAGTCTGGGCCAAGGGGAGCGCAACCTCAGTTGCCGTCTACGCAGCAGAAAATACAAAGGCTGCAGGAGATGTCTCCCTTTGCCCAAGATCCGACGGCCTATCCGGCTCCTCAGTA